CTGTGGAAAAAGAAGTGGTTCGGGACTATAGAAAAACTGGACGAGCACAAGTCCATGGGGCCAGATGCACTGCATCCGAGGGTGCTAAAGAAGTTGGTGGATGTGATTGCAGAGCCATTGGCCATTATCTTTGAAAACTCATGGCGATCGAGGGAGGTCCCGGATGACTGGAAAAAGGCTAATGTAGTGCCCATCTTTAAAAAAGGGAAGGAGGAGGATCCAGGGAACTACAGGCCAGTCAGCCTCACCTCAGTCCCTGGAAAAATCATGGAGCAGGTCCTCAAGGAATCAATTCTGAAGCACTTAGAGGAGAGGAAAGTGATCAGGAACAGTCAGCATGCATTCACCAAGGGCAAGTCATGCCTGACTAACCTAATTGCCTTCAAAGATGAGACAACGGGCTCTGTGGATGAGGGAAAAGCAGTGTATGTGTTATTCCTTGACTTTAGCAAAGCTTTTGATATGGTCTCTATGGGCTGGATGAATGGACTATAAGGTGGATAGAAAGCTGGCTAGATTGTCGGGCTCAACGGGTAGTGATCAATGGCTCCATGTCTAGTTGGCAGCTGATATCAAGTGGAGTGTCCCAAGGGTCAGTCCTGGGGCTGGTTTTGTTCAATCTTTTCATTAATGATCTAGAGGATGGCGTAGATTGCACTCTCAGCAAGTTTGCAGATGACACTAAACTGGGAGGAGTGGTAGATATGCTGGAGGGTAGGGATAAGATACAGCGGGACCTAGACAAATTAGAGGATTGGGCCAAAAGAAATCTGATGAGGTTCAACAAGGACAAGTGCAGAGTCCTGCACTTAGGACAGAAGAATCCCATGCACTGCTACAGACTAGGGACTGAGTGGCTAGGCAGCAGTTCTGCAGAAAAGGACCTAGGGGTTACAGTGGATGAGAAACTGGATATGAGTCAACAATGTGCCCTTGGTGCCAAGAAGGCTAATGACATTTTGGGCTGTATAAGTAAGAGCATTGCCAGCAAATTGAGGGACATGATCATTCCCCTCTATTTGGCATTGGTGAGGCCTCGTCTTGAGTACTGTGTCCAGTTTTGGGCTCCACACTACAAGAAGGATGTGGAAAAATTGGAAAGAGTCCAGCAGAGGGCAACAAAAATGATTAGCGGGCTGGAGCACATGACTTACGAGGAGAGGCTGAGGGAACTGGGATTATTTAGTCTGCAGAAGAGAAGAATGAGGGGGGGGTTTGATAGCTGCTTTCAACTACCTGAAAAGGGGGTTCCAAAGAGGATGGATATAGATTGTTCTCAGTGGAGCAGATGACAGAACAAGGAGTAGTGGTCTCAAGTTGCAGTGGGGAAGGTTTAGGTTGGATATTAGGAAAAAAAATTTCACTAGGAGGGTGGTGAAGCACTGGAATGGGCTACCTAGAGAGATGGGGGAATCTCCTTCCTTAGAGGTTTTTAAGGTCAGGCTTGAGAAAGCCCTGGCTGGGATGATTTAGTTAGGGTTGGTCCTGCTTTGAGCAGGGGGTTGGACTAGATGACCTCCTGAGGTCCTTTCCTACCCTGATATTCTATGATTGGGCCCTGGTATCAGCTTTGATAAGCATCCAAAAGCATGGTTGCCTGTTGCAATTATCTGAACTTTCTGGGTCTGCAAAACTGGCCTGGAAATGTCACAGGAAAAACTTTTGGGTGAAGTCTCAATTCATCTGGTTCTGCTACTGGCACTGGCCAGGATACAGACACATAGAAAATGCATAAAATGAAAATAATAATTTTAAAACATAATTAAATAAACTTAGGACTTCATAAAAAGATTATAGATAAAGGCTTGGTGTATGTGTGTGTGTGTATGCTCTTTGATTATGGAAGTATTTCAATGTTTACAAGAAAAAATCCCACTGTGTAGGGAACAGGGAACATACATTTGCAATGGCTGGAAAGTCTCTAATAGCCTCTATTAATATGATAATTTCCTTAATGTGTGGACATTTAGACAATTCCAAAGGAACATTTAATTAGGAGTAATGCTACTGGTATCAATTCAGCATTTTTAATTCCCAAAGATATTTCTAAGAATCTTCCTCTGTCAGAATTCCACAGGACAAACATCCAGAGTGATAGGCCTTTGTATTGGAAACTTTGATAATTAGATTGGAAAACAAACAAACAAACAAACAAAAAACCCAAACACAAAACAGCAAAAATTCAGCCAGTGAACATTCTAGATCAAGGGGAAAAAATAGTATATGACCATAACTACAGACATATAAGTATAGGTGTAAAGGTATCTTTTCATCTTGTTTTGCGACGCTTTAATTATGAAACTGCTAGTAACGGTAAAGAGAGTTCTTAAGCCTCATAAATCAGAATGAGATTATACCTTTTAGTATTTCATAACTGCTTGAAAACTCTCTTTTGTTTTTCTAATACAAAGTGAAGTTATAAATAACAAACATCCTTTCTGGAAAGTTAACAAACTACACAAACACGACTTTTTTTTTAAAACCCAATAAAACTCTGGTTCAAAATAAATACCTGTAAATTGTGTGCATCCATCTATATGCAAATGTTTCCATATATATGATTATGTACATGCGTTTGAACAGTATGTGCATGTATTGTGGATGCTAGTTACAACAAATCTGCTGTCATTCAGGACTTCACAGTTCTTAGCAAGGTAAGCAATCCAAAAACACTGACGCAACATTCAGGCTAAAAGAGAACCTATGTTAACTGTAACATTAATAGGGTTAGTCATGGCTCAGCCACTACAGGAAATATAGTAATAAACTGTTGAGCAGATCTGACATTAGTAGAGGGTAGCCCACATACAGAGTGACCAGTACATGAGATGCTTATGTGTGAGAGTATATTTGAGCATGCATAGCTGTGCAGGTGTATGTGGGACAGCCACTTTCAAGCTGTTCCAACAATACAAAATGTAACAAAATTCTGATTGTGCTTTCAAAACCTGTTTTACTTGTAACTTGGTTGCATTACTATGAGGCTGAGTCCTTCCAGGCCTCCTTTGCTCTTTCTCCATCTCTCTCCAGATGTATTTGTGATTTGAGCCATTTATTTGAGACGCCATCCCCAGTTCTTAGCTTACCTTCACATCCTGGACGTTCATTCTTGTTCCCTCCTTTCCAACAAAGATGTCATCTATATCGACAAGAATGTACCTATCCAAGGACAATGCAAGCTTCTTCCCCGTTAGGAAAGAGACAGCATCTATAAAGATCAACTTGTGTAGCCAAAAGGTCAAGTTGTTTCCAAAAAGGACTCTCTGAATCCCATCATGAAGCCCCAAGTCCTGGATCACTGTAGCATACAGTGGAGCCTTAGGCAATGATGCTGGGAAGGATCTGGAAGTCTGTAATTCAGTTAAAAGCACAGGTTGGTAGGTGGAGTGATTAAATAGGAAAACCGTCCAGTCTTCCCCAGGTAGTGGGCCTTTCTCAATCCTTGGTGCTTTGGTAATGTGCAGTAGAGGAGATTGAGAGTTTACAAAGCAATCTTTGAGGGCAACATTATTGTAAAGGTCTAGTGGAAATCCTTTTAATTTAATACTTGGTGAGCTGTTCTCATTGGCTTTATGAAAACCAATTATGCTAACACTGTATTCCACACAATATTTTTCCAGAAGCTCTCTATTCCATGAGTCCATGGACACATACTTTAAAATATTCTCGTATATAACAAGCATATATTTCCCTTTGCCACTATCCGTAAGAGGAGGAATGTCACCTTTTCCAGGTGCAATCACCATATGGTACTGGAATCGACTAGACTCGAGGATGGCTATGATATCTTGTCCAAGCTGGGAGTACTGGCTCTCCACAAATAGCAAGACGATAGGGTCAGTATTAGATGGATCCATCGGCTTAGCAGTCTTCAGCTCCATGGACCTGTATGGTAAAAGTTTAAGGCCCTCACATTCTGCTTCTCCAGTGGTTTCAATTAGGGTCATCTCCTGCTTGTAGCCTGTATATAAGTAATAGGCGGAAATGACTATGCTTACTAAACAGAAGGTGGTTAAGAGAATTACCAGTGTTCTGAAACTTCTACGAAGTTTCACAATAAGATTCATTTTTTGGAATACTTTCAATTAAAAAAAAAGAAACTTTTTTGGCTTTATCGTCTTAAAGTGCCATAGTAGAGAGGACAAAAAATGGTGCTGGTACCACGCCCAAAATGTTCATGTGACCATTGCAATGCATTTATGAGGGGCTTTGGGGAGGTTATAAAGTTGTTAGAGCTCAAAGTCAAAGTATCTGGAAATCTAAATTGGAAGAGATCTTCTCTGAATGCAGCACTTGCAAAAAATCAATGGAGATGATGCTTAACATTATCTGCAACAAAGGGTGAAATTAGAGTAAGTAAAAACAAAATCCATAAAGCAATTAAAAATAAGTGTGTTAATTAAATAAGCTAGTAATTGATATGTGCAATCTGAGGAAGAGGAGATTTATTGATTGTACAGTACTAGCTGACTGTCAGCTGCTTTTTTAGTAGTTAACTTTTTAAAAATATCTATTTAAGGTACCTTTCCAAAATGCTTTTGTCGTGACATGAAATCTAAACACAGCACTATGAACAATGTTCATTCAGTCACTTATCCTTTGCTAGAAAGATTTCTTGCAATTGCAAGCAGAGATATCTTAGAATAATGGGATGAAATTAAGAAAAAGAAAAACTTGGACAGATTTATCAAATTGTGGCATAGTCTTCTGAATGGAGATAGTGGAACTTCAATGTTTTGAGACATTTCAAACTAGTTAAGACAAAGCATTAGAAAATGTGTAGTATGGAACCATCCCGTTGTTAGAGTGGGGATGGGTTAGAAGAATGAAAAGACTTTCTCTGTCTCCAATTTCTATGTATTTCTATATACTTCTATGACTTAAGCAATCAGTGGAATTTACTCATGTGTACAAATATTTGCAGGATATGAATCCAAGTCTGCAGGCTTACATGAAGTTATTCTTGAGTTATTAAAATGTCAAAAACATTATAATTTTTAATTAACTAAAAATTATTGTTACCATCTAGACAATTCTAAAACAGCCAAACTAAATTTTATTAAACTCTTCTAAACAATTAAATCTTGTGTTGAGCTTAATACTGCTACATTTCACCTCAACGGGTAATTTCCTGAAATGGTTACAAGCATCTAAATATGGGGCTTAAAATGAATGCAGGGCTTTAATCTGTCTCTCTTCTATTATTAAATAGAAGATTGAGGTAAGAGATACATATGGGCCAGATTCACTGGCCAGCTTTGTGCAATTCCTTAAAGTGAAAAATTGGTTATACTATGCCAGTGGTTTTCAAGCTGTGGTCTGCAGACCCCTTGAGGTCCGCAGGCTATGTTTAAGATTTCCAAAGGGGTCTGCACCTCCACTTGAAACCTTTTAGGGAGCTGCAAATGAAAAAAAAGGTTGAAAACCACTATACTATGACATTTTCCTGTGGGAATTCTTTACAGAGCTTAAAGTGCATTTTAGAAACCTTATATACAGGCATTTGCACCAGGAAGACTGTTGCAGTTTGAAGGACGGATGCAAAACAATTCTGGAAAATTAAGGAAATATTCTTTATAGTGAACCATCCACAGACATTTTCTCACATTTGAGTGTGTCAGTCAAGGAGTATGCAATGAAGTTGGGAGGGCTTTGGGGGTTGTTTTTCAAAAGTGGAAAGGTGAAAAAAAAACAACAGAAAAAATAGATGATTTTGTTTCATGGGCTTAAATAAGGACAAGTGAGCATCTTCTCTTTCTGAATTATTTATACTGTTTTCCCACTGGAACAATGTAAGGTTGTAAACAGTGGATTATTTTAAAGTGCTAAGAATTAACATTCTTTTTAAAGAAGACCTGTTAGTTGACAGATCTTCATTTGCAAAACTAGACTGCAGAATAAAGATGGGAACTTAAATATTTGAGATTTGTGGAAAACATTTAAATCTAAACCTGAGGAAATGTAATAAATATAATATATGGGAAATCTCTAATGGTATATTTATCTAATAATGTGTGCAATCATAAGGGGACTTTTCTGATTGCTTATAGTAAACATAAATAATATAAAGGAAGGGTGTTAATGCTCTTTTAAACATTTTTCTTCTGCTACCATACGGATATCCGATATCAGACCTCTTCTGACGTCCAATTGTTACACTACTTTTCTGATGTCAAAATTCATGGGAAAGGCTCAGCAAAAGAGAGAAACAAAGTCATGGGGATAAACTCTGAATAAAAAGGTCTACTTGCTCAGTAATGTACTACTCAGCATGAGTATGGAAATCAGAATTTGACCCATAGAATTTAGAGATCGAAAACACCTATAAGGTAGGTCATTATGTCTATTCCTCTGCCAGTGTAAGATTTTCTCTAAAGTATATTCTTGAGTCAGAGGCTTGCTGCTGCACTCTTCATATTCTTTCATGCTTTGTCATAGTGCGCCAACAGCAGAACAATCATTGATTCAAGTTTGTGTCACAGAGCCACTAGCAAACAGTAGCAAGAAAGATATTCCGGTTTATTCTAGTACAGAGTTTTTGAATGGAAATATCCACAAATAACAACAACAATAATAATTAATAATTAAATAAATAAATAAATAAATAAATACTACTAATAATAAACAAGATAATAATCAAGATAATTATAAGAGTAATAAATGCTTCTTTATTGCTTGCTTTATGGGCTTTGAGGTTCAAGGTGCTTTAATCTCAAAAGAGACAATTATTTTATTTTTTTTATAAAAAGATAAAGTCAGATCAATGGAAACTGTCTTTATGAGGCTGTATTTCAATTCTTTGGTGACATGGATGAATCACTCATGTCTGACTCTTGGGGTTTATCAAATGACTGTAATCTTTCTGGGGGATTACATCATCATTGTGTGTGTACACACACCATAAAATAGAATAGCTAATGCCTACAACTTTTGGTTTTGGAGATATTTTGAAATGAAAAAATACTTGGACTTCACATCATGTATTTTCTTTCAACACTAGAGGGCAATGTTTTCTTGCTTTTGCCAGACAAAGAATGGCAGCACCTGTTATCCACCAGGACAGCTTACAAAACAAATGGAACTGCAATCAAGCTGAGTCCAAAAAGGTCACAGCAATCTGTACCAGCAGGTAAAGCACCTTATTTTAGACTTTAGTGCAAAAGCAATATAATTTAAGTGCTAATAAATCTGATCCTGCAACAGGTTTTATACTTACTAAATTTCTTAGTCCACTTCTGTAGCCCAGGTGAATAGCATGATATAGTAGATCTACGTTTTCTCCTTTTTTTTCCCCTCAGCTTTTTTTCCTCTTGGGTCCCTCAGGTACTGAAATTATAAAGTGTCAAAATAATACGTTTGGTGAGATCGATCATTATCATTTTGCTTTCTGGTAGCACCTAGTAGCTCCGGGTCATGGACCAGGATCCTATTGCGCTAGACAATGTACAGAAACAGAACAAAAAGACAGACCTTATCCCAAAGACTTTACAATCTAAATACAAAAGATAAAATCCCATCTGAAAGAAATATTAGTATCTCAATCTAATCTAATCCAGTCCCTCTATTGATGTTGTTATAATCATTGAATAAATGTTTTAAAATTACCCATACATATATTTTATTAAATAAAGGTATTCATTCTAATCTGGATAGTACTTGGAGCAAGATTCAATTCTAGGTTTGGGCACCTTGTTAGATTTGTTCTTTGGAACTGTTAATATTGTTCAGTAAGAAGCAGTGCAACATAATTAAAGTCTATGAAAGTAAATCAGTTATACTAACCCATTGCGGGAGATTTTCCAAGGCAAAACGGAGTTGGGAACTGCCATTTGTGCATTTGAAACTCTTCCCCCTCATGGTTCAACAGCTTTATATGCATTCAGCACTTCAATTGTTCTGGGAGTATCTTTATACTGTATGGATCTATTATAGTGCTGTAAAACTTGAAAATAAATGTCCAAATCAGGCTTTATTAGGTATAATTTAGTATTACTGATCCAGTTTCATTTTAGAGTCCAATTTCTGAGATTCTGTGGGCCCTCAGCTCTGACTGAATTAATTGATGCTCCATCTTGCTGGATAGGGTCCAAATTTTGGTACACTGACCAAGGAAACAAAATGATATTCACTCAGAATAGATCTTCAATGATGTAAAGACCTTGTGCTGGCTCTTTGTACAAGATGAATTTTACCTAGAGAACTGACTTCTACAGTGTCATATTTTGCATTGACAAGTTCATGTGCTAATACTGTAATTTTTCATTTGTCCCAGAAACACTAAATATACTGGCGACATGTAGCATGCAGTACCATTGAAGACTCTGGCCTGGTCTACACTAAAACATGTTTGCTGTTATAGCTATATTGGCAAATCCTCATCATGTGCATGCATCTTATACCAGCAAAATGTGCTTCACCTGATAAAGCCAATATAAGTTCCCCAAATGAAATAAGCTGGTGAACTGCATCTACACTAGGGCTTTTGCCAGTATAGAAATTTAAGAGATATTACAAAAGTTTCTAATGTAGGCCTATTAAACACAATGGTTAATGTATGTTGGCCTATTAACCACAGTGGAGTTGACCCACATAAACCAGGGCTAAATTTGGCCACAACAAGGATCATTAACAAGATATACAATGCATAAAACATAAACCAGTAAATGTTCTTAATGAGAAAATGATTTTGAGCTGTATAATACATCATTACACTTTAGTTCATTTATTGCCCAAACTGCAAAGTTTTGGAACCAGATTTCAAATCTCCCAAATTTCAGGAGTGGTGTGAGATGTTTGTTCATCCCTTTGTATAGGGTTGGACATGAAATCCTGGAATCCTACACTCCCCTCAAGTCAAGAGGTAAGGATAGAGGTGTCCTCTCCCAGGTTGTGTTGCCATCAGGTTGATATGGGTGAACACAAAGGGAAAAGCCAAAGGACCAAGCAGGAGACAAGTACTAGAGGGAGTATGGGTCACAGTTAATAACATGCCCATTTCTTGTTGACACAAAAATCTTTACATCATAGAATAGATATTATGGGGTTTTGATCTGGAAATGCTTCAGAAACATCTTTTTCTCATAATATTTTGGAACTTCCATTTCCATTTCTAGTTGGAATCCAGATTTGTATGAAAAATAATAAAACAAGATAAGTGAATGTTTCAACCTCAAAAAAAAGTTTGATTCAGGAGTTTATTTTTCCTTCTGAGGGCAAATACTAAATTTGTATGAACCCAATTCAATGTCCCTAATTATCTGTTCAATGATCCCTGATTTAAAAACACTTACATGCCTTTATTTAGACAAGCTAACCACAATGGTCTACTGGTTCAGTACAAAAGACAAGTGAGAACTGGTTTGAGTAAAAGAGGTACAAACTCAATCATTCCTTCTTGAACATAAACCCAAAATTCAAACAAAAGTTCCAAGTCTGAAAAAAAATTAATTAGATTTTTTATATGTTATTTTTCATTTTTTGAGCCTCTCTTGGAATATAGCAGCTTTTGTAAGTGGAAGTACCAGAAATCTCACAAATGAGAAATTTCTAAACTCTGGAGATCTGGATAAGCTTCCATTAGGCAGCTGAACTTTCACATGCTTATCCAAAACAATGTTTTTGCGGTTCATCCATCACTACTTGTGTAGATCTTTTATGAACACTGCTTTGCTAGTAAGTGTTTTAGCAGCCCTCACAAGACTGATCACAAGCTCATCAGCTTACATATAAAAAGATGTTGCCTACAAAGACAGATCCTCAGCAGGTAGAAATTGTCATAGCTCAACTGACTCCAGTTACCTCCCTATGACAATTTACACCACCCGAGGATCTACCCTCGTATCTTAATTCCTTCTCTTGATTTAAGTAAATTCAGACTCCATTTGTCATCTGAAACACCTAATTTTAGTAATTGTTTTCAGTGATTAGGGGTTTCTATAGTCAATGTATAATTTCCTGCTTTTTTAGAAAAGCGGACAATTTGCCAGGGTCATAGCTAATTATCACTGGATACAAAGCAAACAATGTATAATTCTCCTGGAATGAAAAGTGGCAGGCATCTGTGCCTGGAAGAGCTATTGGAAGCAATGAACCCTTGACCCTTTTGACTTTGCTCACTAGTTTTTAGTAGCTTTAGTTTTTACAGATGCTTTTACTCAGAGTTTTGTGAAAAAATTCTTTGCAGTAGAGAGACTGCCAAAAATTGTGTTTATAAAATGTTTTTGCATATATATTTTAAAGTATTTGGTTATTTATTTGTTTATTTATTTATTGAATGAATGAATGGACAAAGAAAACTGGACAGATTACGAGATATGGAGCCTTTTGCCTCCATATTGCTAGTCTGAATTTAACCCAGGCTGATTTGTCCAAAATCTAGAACCATCTGATGGATGTAAGTGACACATACAAAGTTAATAGCTTGTCTCACTCCACGTTCCAGTGAATACCATCACCAGCAATGGCCTTGTTAGTAGACTCAGCCCTTGAGGGCCCTGAGCCCCTTCAGGTTTGTTTTGAAGCATATTGATGATATAGTTTGGGCCTTGTCATTGCCTGTGCTCTATGTCACAGTTCAGGGCAACTGTACTTGTATTTCCCCTGAGAGATCCAACAAGGGTAAGGACTCTCAGGCTTCCAGCTGTGCAGCCATTTCCTTTCTGCATGGAGTTCCACATCTATCTCCCTTCCGACCAGCGTATTTCCAGACTGCACAGTTCCCTGACTTCACTATGTTATTCCCAGCACAGACAGGTTGCCCAGGGACAACTGCTTGCTTTCTGATCAGAGATGTTTAACAGGTGCAACTACTACAGTTATAAGGTATCACACAGCACTTCCTACGCAAGCCTGCATTATTCTCAAGATAAAAAGCATTACAGAGAAAATATATTAAAAATAATAAAAGAATTTGTTACACACTTACTAATACTTACACACTTGCTAATAAGCTTCAGAGTTAACCCTAACATGGATTATCGAAGCAGCAGTCCTTCAACTTTCCACCTAATGGTAGTCCTTGTGGTTACAGCCTCATTATAGATTGAGCTCAGAACAAATGTCCATTCTTATGGGACCTCAGTAGATCCAGTCCTTACAACCTTACCCTAAGCATTGGGACCCTCTGTGGACCAGCGGTCCTATCTGTTTGGTGGATCAAGAAGGTGGCACTGAGCCAGTTTAAAACTAAACTATTTATCCAACATCCCCTTCTTTGTGATGGTCTCTGGAGAATCAAATTTGAACTAGTATATTGTGCACTTTTCCAACCTCTTTGTAGATGCTAAAACCTAAGTGAATTTGCCTAATCACCCCCTGCTGTTCTTCTGTTTACCCTTTCCATGGAAATTCATACAAATCCACAAAATTAACCCTGGTTCAATAAGATTTAACTTAATTCAATAAAGTTTATCTTACTTCCACAAGGTTTGTAGCCAACATTAGAGGATATGGTCAGTCTCTCACATCCTACCTATCCTGTGAATAAATAGATGGCTCCTGCTTAGCAGCAACATTTTAATAAGAATTATCCCTATTATTCTTCCTTCAGTAATTTCAAAAGGTATGCAAATAGCCACAGCTGACTTATCACAACGTCCAGCTCCTTGAACACATGTTCTAGATGTGCTGTCATAACAGCAGGTCAGCTAATATAATTCCTTCTCATTAATTCAGACCTGATCTACAATTGCTGACTCACTAAGTGGCCTTTCCTTTCCTCCTATTGATGCATTTAGACACATAACTATAATCAGCGCTAATGTGTTCACAGAAATTCCTCATCTATCAATGGGAGACTTCTACAGATATGTACTTGGAAGGTCAGAAATAAAGTTCTGTCTTTTGCTGATGCCTCCAAAATCCCTTTCTTTGATACTGAAGTTATGTTTGATTTGCTATAATAAAATCATAGAAATACAAAAATTAGATCTAGATAGCACCTGTTATGTCCTCCAGTCAATTGCCTCGTGTAGCATTGTTACCTACTACATTTCTCCAGTCTAGTTTAAAATAAATCAAGTGCTAGGGCTTTTATCACTTCTTTTGGAAGACTATTTTACAGTTAGAATAGACTTCAGTGTTAGGATACGTGTACTGATGTTCAGCGTAAATTTTCCCTTTACTTATTTTGACTCCACTACTTCGAGTCACCGTAAAAATTCCTTTATTTGATGTTTATACATGTCCAATAATTGTTCCAGATTATTGTAGTCCAGGGGTCGGCAACCTCTGGCATGCGGCTCACCAGGGTAAGCACCCTGGCGGGCTGGGCCAGTTGGTTTATCTGCCGCGTCGGCAGGTTCAGCCGATCACGGCTCCCACTGGCC